TAGCTTCAGATGTACAAAATAATGATGTGATATTTGTATATATTGCAAAATGGTGACCACAGTAACTCTATTTAACATCTGTCACCATACATAGTTACAAAAATATTTCTTCTTGTGATGAGGACTTGTAAGATTTACTCTCTTAGCAACTTTCAAATATGCAATATAGTATTATCTATGGTCACACTGCTGTACATTTCATCCCCATGACTTATTTATTTTATTACTAGAGGTTTTACCTTTAACCCCCTTCACCCATTGTATGTGATCCCCATCCCCTGCCTCCAGCAAATAGCAATTTGTTCTCTGAATCTGTATATCTATGTATCTATCTATCTATCTATCTATCTATCTATCTATCTATCTATCATGCCTTCTTTATTCATTCATCCATTGATGGACAGTTAGATTGTTTTTATATCCTGGCTATTGTAAATAATGCCACAGTAAGTATGGGAGTATACATCTTTTCAAATTAGTGTTTTTGTTTTCTTCAAATAAATACCAAAAAGTGGAAATTTCTGGATCATATGGCAGTTCTTTTTCTAATTTTTTGAGGGAGCTTCATATAGTTTTCCATACTGTTTGTACCAATTTACATTCCTGGGCATCTACTTCTTGAAAAAGAGAACTGATACCTCAGGTTTCCCCCAACAGAGTTTAAAGTTTACTTGACTTTGAGAACAAATAATAGACAGAAGTGATACTTCCTGTACAGCAAGAGTACAGCAAAAGCCTCATGGATTCCAGATGTAGCTGCTGATGTTCTAGATTGCACAGCTTTCGGGACACATGTGATCACTGACACAATGGCAGGTCAATTTTGATTAACTTAAAACAGAAACACCATCAACTATGAGATCTCTTCAGTTGAAAAAGTTTCCTAGTCAAGTAGGACCCCAAACTGTATATGAAAGGTTCCTATTCTCTGGTGCTGCTACATGTCATCAATTACCATTTATTAATTGGTTATAGATTAGGCAAAAAAAAAAAATGTTCACAGTAAGGTACAGTGTGAAGTCAATGTATAGCAATCTGAGTAGTTCCCTCGATGCTGGTATAAATATCCCAAGTTAGGATTAAAGGAAGATTAGAATAAAAAGCAAGTCCTCAGGCATCCCTGAGCCTGGAGAAAAGACCTGTTAATCCCTTCATCCCAAATTTAACACTTAATTGCTTTTTTTTTTTTAATTTTTTTTAATGTTTATTTATTTTTGAGACAGGGAGAGACAGAGCATGAACAGGGGAGGGTCAGAGAGAGAGGGAGACACAGAATCTGAAACAGGCTCCAGGCTCTGAGCTGTCAGCACAGAGCCCGATGCGGGGCTCGAACTCACAGACCGTGAGATCATGACCTGAGCTGAAGTCGGACGCTCAACCGACTGCGCCACCCAGGCACTCCCTTAATTGCTTTTAAAAGCACTATTTATTATCTGAGATTTTCCCACAACTTACAAGTTTCTGAATTCTCTAATTTGATTTATCTCTTGGTTCACCTTGTTTCTTAAACTCATATTTTGGCCAAAATGTTTGTAATCTTTAGCCATGATTGCTTTCCTTTTTGTTTTGTTTTGTTTTGTTTTGTTTCCTTCCTGTCATCTTAATCATTTGTTCCTAATTTGGGGGATAGTGTTTCATATCAACTCTTTTCCCATCAGAGTTATATATCTATTGGGGTCCCTTCCCGAGTCCAGTGGGAAACAAATGTTCTTCTTTCCCCCTGCGGAGATGTCAATATGTGACTTCCTGTCTTTACTGGGAAAAACGTTATATATTTTGGATTCTATATCGTATACTGCTTCGATTTAGTGTCTCATTTTTGATGAAGTGCAGCCTAAAGAATTTCCTAAAATATTTGTAAGAGGTGAAGTTTGTGATTTCTTGTGATTCCAAGGTTGATAAACAGTTGAATGTTAACACTAGTTGAAAAGCCCTTTCCTGCAGAAATTTAAAGCATTACTTTGTTGTCTTCTAACAACCAGGGGTGCTGGTAAGTTTGATGCTGGTTCTTACCCCATAACTTATTCCACCAGCATCATTGCTGTTTTACTACAAATATTTAGCTCATTTTCTTTCTTTTTATATGCTGATTTAAATAAGATAGTATTTCAATAACAGAACAAGACAATTACTTGTTTTAAATGAGCGTTTAAGTCAATCCATCATTTTCTCTTCATGACATTAAGCGGATTGCTTACTTATTTACTTAGAAGTAACTTCTATATTATCAATAATTTTATAGAAATTATCAGTTGTTTACTATACCATAGACACATTTAATATAAGACATGGCCAGTGATTCAAGGAAAATTTTAAAAAGGTAAACTTCAAAATTCACTCATATTACATTTAAATCATCTCCAAATACAAGTGTATATATACTTTAAAGTCCTAAGTAGAAATGAAACACATCTGGTCAAGGTTGATGTGAAAACCTTCCTTCGTATAAGGCTTATCTCCAAAACACAAAAGAGAATTGTTTAACCACAACTTTGGCATAAGTATGCTGCACAGAAGAGAAATGATCTGTTTGCTTTAAATATAAATATAGAAGAAATTATAATTATCAATCCAGTGTCATTCAGAAACTGATTCTTGATTAAATTTCACTGTTCTGAAATTTTTAAATTTTTTGTAAATATTCATTTTAATACTAATGATGAACATGTTATGGAAATCACACTTGGAATTTAGAACTTTGTTTTGCAGTTGTCTTATACAAACAATGCTAACTGCTTTTATATGGTAATGTTCAGCCTATATTAGATTTTTTACATTAGGGAGCTTCAGAAAGACTGACCTTGAACAATTTACATTAGAGAAGCTGCCATATAGCTATAACACAGACCATATGGTATGTGATAGTTTTCTACTTTGTAGTCAAGGACTGTGAAAAAGGTTCTAGTACTTGAGAATGATTACATCCATATTTACATCACATCTGCTATGCATGTTTAGAAGTAATTCTACCAAATTTCCTTGAGTTTTAGGATTTTCTAAATTGGTACATATAATTTGACCTACTGTACTTTAAGCAATCATATCGTTAGAGTAAGTAGCTTAGCTAATTGAAAAAAGAACTGAACTGGAATAAAGAGATAAAGGTTTTTTTGTGTGTCAACAACATTATCCATTATTTGAAAACCTCTCAATATAACCTACTAGATACTCAAAATATATTTGTTGAATTAACTTATGAATTTAAAATTAAATTAGTTAAAATAAATAAGTTCTGAAGATGTACTATACAGCTGGTGACTATATTTAACAACATTGTACTGTATATTTGAAATATGCCACTTGTAGCAAGTAATTAATATGATCCTATTAAACTACAGGCTTGATATTGATGGCCTCTGGTTGATTAGGCTTCATCAAAAGAGTGATTTCTTTAAGAATTCTTGTTTAGGGAAAGCAATTTGGCCAACATAGTTTGGGAAAAGCAGCTGTAGGATTTCATTATAAGATTTTAGTTTTAGAAACAATTAGAAGAGAATATTTTTTTTAATTTCATATTTTCTTAATACCTTTTTAAGTTTATTTATCCATTTGGAGAGAGAGAGAGAGAAAGCGTGCATAAGTGGGGGAGGAACAGAGAGACAGAGGGAGAGAGAGAGAATCCCAAGCAGGCTCTTCACTGTCAGCACAGAGCCTGTCCAGGGGCTTGAACTCACAAACCATGAGATCATGACCTGAGCCAAAATCAAGAGTCGGAGGCTTAACCGACAGAGCCACGCAGGTGCTCCTTCCCCTATATTATCTTTGGAATTAAATTTTGTAGGGGCGCCTGGGTGGCTCAGTCGGTTAAGTTGTCCGACTTTGGCTCAGGTCATGATCTCACCGTTCATGGGTTTGAGCCCCGCGTTGGGCTTGTGCTGACAGCTCAGAGCCTGGAGCCTGCTTTGGATTCTGTGTCTCCCCTTCTCTCTGTCCCTCTCCTGCTCATGCTCTGTCTCACTGTGTCTCAAAAATAAAGAAATGTAATTTTAAAAAATTAAAAAAAAAAAAAAAACTTGTGAATGGTATGGAGCAGGTATCCAATCTCTTCTCATGTGGACAGTTGTTTCAACACCAGCTAGATAGCCCATCCTTTTACAGTGATCTGTAATACTGCTTTTTGTGTGTCCCAGTGTCTATTTGTCTTTATTGTGTCCAGTACCACTCTGACTTTATTACTTTCGATCATATAAATCTTGGTAGCTATCAATGCAAGTTTGTCCAATTGTTTTCTTCTTCATGAGGCACGTGGCTATAATTTTTTTTTTACCTCCATTAACATTTTGAATCAACATCACAAGTTATCTCGAAAAATGATTAGAAAAAAACCCAGTATTATTCACCAGCAAGAATGGAACCATGTAGAAGTGAAGCTTGTTAGCTTTGGAATCATGTAAGATATATGAAGTCATACCCCTTTTTTTACCATGTTCAATATGTGTGTCTCTGGACATGTTACTTAGCCTCTTTAGGCTTAATTCTTCTTCTGTAAAATGGGCACATTCATAGTCGTTAGAATTGAATGAGCTAATAAATGTGAAGTGATTAGCAGAATGCCCGAAAGACAGTGTTACTAAATTTTAGCTATTATTAATAGTATTAATGATCTTAGATGCAATGGTAGTAGTTGTGTTAGTACTAACAAAAGTGATGGTTTTAAAAAATCTAGTGGAGTATCCCTGAAAATAGTAGCTGAATGAATAAAATAATAAATTAATTAGATGCAGGCAACAATAAATCATACCACTGCTACATTTCAGCTATCATGAAGTACTTTTGCCAAGAAAAATGAACACATGGCATCCTTTTTGATAGCGTCTTCCTCCTGTGGTGTGGTAGGTGATGAGCTTGGTCCACAGAATCACAAGTAGGAGTATGCAAATGGCACTGAGACTATCTGCTTGTGTGAGGGGGGTGGTTTGGCAAGGTCATCTTCTCCCTACTCAACAGTAAGCATATGCTTCCAGGTTTCTCTAATCCGTTATATTTCTTACTCTGTGCAGGCAGCTAAGACAACCAAAGAGTGGGAGCCTTCCCATGAGGAACAAGGACTATGGTGGAGAGCTGCCACTAAGGTAGCGAACTGACGTCAGATCTTGTTTATCATTTTTGCACTGCTTATTTGTTATTTTACGAATGGCATGGAGGAAAAGTAGCTTAGCTGAATCCTTATTACCACTTTCAAATCTGACCTGGTCACTTCAAATGTTTATGCCACTTTTTGGTAGTTGACCATTAAGTACACAAAATAAATTACCAGCAGAAAAATTCTTTAAAAATGCATGAGAAATATAAATCAGAATTCTTACCAACATTTAGCTGGGCTGCTACACAATTGGAATTGACTAAATACTCTGTCCAGTTTCTTCACAAAGAATGGTAGCAAAATTATTACATACCTGGGTCTCTGAAATCTTTTTTTGAACCAATACAATTCTAATCATTATTTGTATTTAAAATGTCAAAAACCTTGGAAAGGATGATGCTTTTATTTATTATCTCTCACATAAAGCCCTATGTAAATAAAAGTGTGTGATTGATAGAAAGTGTGGAGTTGGAGAGGGTAATTTGAGAATATGGAAGTTTTAGAAAATGCAGACAATGTTAGGATTGAAAGAATGAAGCAATAGTAGCATCAAGCTAGAAATATGTCAAATAGTTTATTATTTTGCATAGAACTTTTTGTGTATCTTTTACCATACGAAACACATGACTTAACCAGTGATGAAATCTGCACATGCCAAGGGGAGGACCAGTCCTGAGAGAATCAGAATCTGAAGCAGCCTCCAGGCCCCGGCTGTCAGCACAGAGACGGATGCAGGGCTCGAAGTCACTGACTGTGAGATCGATCTGAGCTGAAGTGGGACGCCTAACCAGTGGAGCCACCCTGGCGCCCCAATGGACCTGAGAGAATTTATAAAACAGTAGTTCATAAATAGTTTCATCTCATGATTCCTTGTGAGACATAGGATTCTTTCACAATGAAGAATCAGTTCTTCTCTTTCATTGATTGGGAGAAAAATCTAAACGTTGGCATTCATTTCTTTAACATCTGCTCATATAAGAATTATTTAGTGAAAGCAAAGATGAGCTGAGGGTAAAGCCTTCAACTTCCAACTTTTTCTCTGTGTTCTGACTCCAATTGTTGTGCTCTCCCTTTGTACATTGCACTCATTCCAATGATTGTAAAGTTTGGGTTGAAGGTATGCTTGGATGAACATAGGCTTTTTTCCTTTAGTATAGTCCCAGCCTTCAATACCACCCAGAAGCTTCTACATAGGCTAAATTCTGCGGCTCAGCAACTAAGTGGTACAAGCCACAGGGAGTGCATAATACCAATTTTCCACAGCCTGCACTGCCTACCCATTTGCTTAAAATTGCAATTCAAAGATGTTGACTTTACTCTATAAAGCTCTAAATAGTTTGGGCTCTGGCTCCCTCAGAAATCCCTTCTCTCCCTCTGCTATATAATGACAATTGAAGCCAGGCAGTATACTCCTGATGAGAGTTCCCAAATTTAAGGCATATGGAGCTTTATTTAAAATGGGAAGAGCACTTCACACGGTCATCGCTTTCTTAGGTATCCCTGTGTTACAAAAGCTTAACACAGTCTCATTATGTTGACCTCTTGGGCATTTCTTTCTTATGACCTTTAATTATGATAGTTACATGTAACAATGTCATGAATTGTTTCTAATATTTCTGGAATATTTCTGGAAACTCCTACTTATTTAATATTTTCATTTTTGTTGTAATTTTGTATTTTTATTTTCTATGTTGTGATTGTTAGAAGTGTGATAAAGGGTACAATTTAAATATATTATTTAAATTAATTATCTTTAAATTTTTCTAAAATCAGCATAATGGGAAGATTTAGCACAAGTAAAGAATAGTTTAAGACCTTTTTGGGGGAAAGTAATTGGAGTGGTGTTTTAGAAAAATGTTATGACTGAAATGTAAAGAGAATCATCGAAACATAACACTGAGGGCTGAAAACATTGTGAAATCTTTTGATATACACCGAGACTGCACATACATATATTTTTTGTCCTGTGAACAATTTATTTTAATTAGAATATAATTGCTTGAAAGAAACTAATTTATTGGTGACACAGTTTGCTTTTTCTTATACATATAAACTCCATTTCAATATATCCTTTTAATAATCCATATTAAATTTAATTGAAAATAGATTTTCGGACTCAAATTTAGCAACTAAAATATTCTAAGAGCAAAAAAACCAATAACTATATAACCATAAATTACTCTTAAATTGCATTGATTTTTTTCTTTTTTTTCTTTTTTTCTTTTATATTTATAATCCACTCTACATGCAATGAAGTTACCAAAATTCTTACTTTATATTTATTTTAAAATATGAAGTTTAAAACTAAAATAATATACTCATTTGGGATAGTAGATTTTAGCTTTAATTGAAAAGGGCTGATATTTAGATTCAAAAATCAAGTGTATGAAATGAATATTAAAATACATAATTTTTAGATGGTCCATAATATTTCATACCCCAAATGGTACAACAGGGAAAGTACTCCAGCTAGTTTTAAGGACATTTGAGGAAATACTGAAATTTCCTTATGTTTGAGAAATTCTAGGAATCTATGTAGCTATACTGAGGCTATGCATTTGCTGGTATATCATCTTAATATTTCCTTATACTTAAATGTTACACCCTCCCATGTTTGTTCTTGGAAATTCACTTAGTTCTGTCTTTTACCTATACATTTCTACCAACTATCTTGCCGCATAGCTCTACCATTTTTCTACAGAAACCAGTGATTCTTCCCCTACGCCCCACCCTCTTCAATCACTTCTGCCATTGGATTGCACTCTCAAGTTATTCTGATCATACGATTGTTGTCAGGCAATTTCCAAGTTCAACAATCTAGTAAGACTCCAATATCTTTGTATTTTCTATCACATAAGGCTTATATCTTCTGTTTCTCAGGATTCCCAAATCTCCTTAATTAAGGTGTGAGTAAGACTTCTAGAGTGTCTGGGGGAAATTCCATTTCTTGTCTTCTTCCAGCTTCTGATGGCTGTTGGCATTCCTTGGTTTGTGGTTATGTTACTCCATTTTCTGCTCCTATCTCATGGCCATCTCCTCTTCAGTCAATGTGCATCTGCCCACTCTTATGCCACTTATTATTGGATTTAGAGCTCACTTTAGTAATCCAGGGTAAGCTCCTCCTCCCAAAACCTATAGGTTGATCACTTCTTTTACTCTATAAGCTAATGTTTACTCTCTTACCACATAAGGCAATATTCACAGTTTCTGGAAATTAGGATATGAATTAATCATTTTTGTGTTCTCCACTCAGCTGATGACATCTGGTTATATGCAATACTATTTGCTCTTATCTCCACATAGCTTAGTAGAGTGTATGATGTAGAGTAAGCGCACACACACACACACACACACACACATTTTTGAAAAAAAAATAAATGGTAGATTTCATAAAAGCTCTTTAGCTTATGAAATTCTTAAGCTTATGTTACCATACTGTACGTACATGTGAAAGCATATTTTTCTAAATATATTTCTCCTAATAGTATAATTTAAAATGGACATTTCAGTCTTTATAATTCTAGACAATATTAAAATTATTAGCATGAAAACTTTACTATTTACACTGTGGATCGCCTGGCCAATATGATTTTAACACTGTGCTCTCATAATGCTAACTCTTATGCTTAATTTGATTGAAAAGATATGATCAACTCAAACCAAGCTTAGCCAAACAATTCACTTTTGAGTTTTAAAAATTACATATAAACAGAAAGCAAGACATTAGGATTTCATATAGCAAAATAGAAACTCTCCAAGCTTCTTTACTGTCCGTGAGAATGGGGATTAACATACTTACGTTCCTAGTGGACAAAACAGTGAATCGTATAACCTTCTTTGAGGAATAAATGTATTGAGAACCTTCCACTGTAAGGCAATGAACTCTGCCTTAAGGATAAATTGATGATTATCAGGCAACCATTGATATGTAAGAATTTAGGATTTGAAGTAGTTACATTTAGATACTATTTCATAATTCATGAATTAGTAAAATGATTAAAATTTAACACAGAGGACAAAGTTTTCATGAAAGCACAGGTGTGAAAGACTCCTTTGTTATCTTGCTTAATCTATATGATTTAAATACTTACATTTAGACTCCTTGTACAGAAGTTCAGGTAAAAAACTCTTTTCATAAATAATAACCTCAATGTCAATGCTCAAAGAAGTTAACAGTATCTTCCAAATCATAGAACTGGTAAAGGACAGAGTTAGGACGAGAATCTGATTAGACTTGCTATCTGAGTCTCAGACTAGTACAAATTTCCAGGATAGAAAACTGTTATACAGAAAGATATTTAATTTTTTTTCTTTCCTGTGATTTATACTAAGATCAAAACCTAGGAGAGACACACTCTGAATACATCTTCTAAAAGGTGTGTAGATCTCCACTATCATGTGATAGTTTCTATTTATTAATTTATTTGTATATACAACATTCTTTACATGTTAATGTTGTAGTTTAAGTTTTATAGGTTTCCAAAGCCAATGGAACTACTAAACTTTTTTTTTTTTTTTTGGTTCCTGTGACAAATGGTGGTACTCAGGTAACTCAGAATTTAGTAAATCACAGTTAACAAAAATAGCAACTTCTAAACGTAAAAGGGATATTAAACATTTTAGAAATTATGATTTTAAGGCAATAATTTTGTGATTAGCTGGGAAAGTTTTAGGCACAATAAAAGCAAAATTTGCAAAATATGTCAAATAAAATCATCTACTCAATGAACAGGCACATTATCTCTGAAAGAAAAAAGTTCACTTAGAAATTTTGTTTAGTACATTCAAACTTTGAATATTCTATTTAAAAAATCTTAGACCCTTCACATCTTTAGGGAAACTCAATTTAATTTTTTTCTTAACTAAAATTCTGATATAGGCATATAAAAGATATGAGTAAACAACTGATCTATTTTAAGTGATCATTTTATTACTTGTCAAATCCACCAGTATGTTCTACAAAATAAAATCCTACAACTGCTAATTGTTAAAGTAAACTTGGAAATACTAGAGGAATCTAACACCTAGCACATGTGTAATAAAAATTTAAGTACAAAAAACTACGGTATTGTATTTCTCTAGCTAACTAAAGACTGAACAAATTAAATGTGTAATTTCATATTTGCAAGCAGGACTGGCTGCATTAACTTGAAGATCAAATATGAAATGCAGGGTCCCTTGCTCAAAAATTATTAAGGATATCAAGTGACAGAAGATAGCATAAACCAAGCCTGGAACCCTTCTAGTAAGCCCAAAGCACTGATGATTTCACAGGTCACATGCTCATGACCATGAAGCTGGCTCTATTAATTGAGTGTTATGGTGTCATTTAGCAATTGTGCTACATATGGTATTCCAACATTGGTATCTGATCGTTAACCATCCTATGTCTCTCCTCTTCTGGAGATTACTATTTCACCACTTAACAATGGCCCATTCTCATTACAATAGGATTTTTGTTGCAAAGATATTCCAGATCCTAGACGTTTTTAGTAACTCATGTTCTGATGTTACTGTGGCTCCAAGTCTGTAGTTGTTGAACATATTTTATTCTGGGAAAATATGACTTTCCTATTCCTACTTTCCTCCTATTGCGGGTTCCTTTTTATCTTAAATCCTCTACCTGACGTTTATTGAATTCCTACCATGATCTAGACTCAATGATTATGGTGAATAAAACAGACAAAAGTCCTTCCCTCAAGGATTGTATTTTGTGAGGAACACAAGCCGTAGGCAAATCTATGTAGTATGATTACACTAAGTAAGTGAGTGCCTTGCAAAACTTGAAGGAGATTAAGAATATACAGGGATCATCGGAATATTTGTTAAAGAATATTAAGTAATTTCTAATATAAGAGATATGAAAGTCCCTTTCATTGTTAATGCATTTCTATCAGTGAGTAAGGAGGAAAAAGTCGATGCAGAAGAGAGAGGGTATCCATTCAAGGACAAATTTCTTAGGTGAGAGAAAATACCATGCAAAAAATGAAATGTTTGACCTTAGTAGCTAGTACAGAGTCATCATTTTAACTGGAAATAAAGCGGAAAATAAGGGCACAAGATCGAATACATGAATAGATTTTGTAGGGTGAAGATGAAATAACTCATTCTGTTTCTTTGCTTCTGTGAATTAAGAATTTAGGTCACCAGCCAGAAAAATCTTAACTTGTGTGTGTGTGTGTGTGTGTGTGTGTGTGTGTGTGTGTGTGTTGGAGCTTTTAGTACTCTGGTAGACACCTCACAAGTTCACGAAATAAGATACATAAGATGACAAAGGAAATCAGTTATACTCAAAAATTATTGAGTGGTTTGAAATGTTAATAGGGACAGATTTTATATAATAATGAATTCATTTTTAAATTAATGTATGACGTTATGGAGCTGAGCATTAGATTTTAAGACTTACTTTGAAGTAGTGATAAAGAAATACATAATTCAAGACATTTGCAACAACTGTAGTGTAACATTAAATAAATGCATTTTCTTTTTCTTTAGTTTTTTTTTTTAACATTTATTTATTTTTGAGAGATAGAGAAAGAGCACAGGCAGGGGAGGGGCAGAGAGATCGGGAGACACAGAATCTGAAGCAGGTTCCAGGCTCTGACCTGTCAGCACAGAGCCTGACGAGGGGCTTGAACCCACAGACTGTGAAAACATGACCTGAGGTGAAGTTGGATACTTAACCCCCGAGCCACCTAGGCGCTCCTAAATATATGCATTTTCTATTGATGACAAGGTCCAGAGACTTTGTTAAAACAACAGTGGTTTGTTGTGTATATTTAAAGCTAAAGGAAAAGTTTCAGTTAGTTGTCAGTCAACATTTCCTATTCTATTTTCTCATTTAAGTTTATGAAAACCTAACTTTTCTTCACTGACTCCAGAAGGCTCTGTGAATGCCAGATTTAAAAACCTCTGCAGTATGAGGAAGCAGAGGGGTATAGAAATCTTTAGGAAGACAAAAAAAAGTGGAAAAAATTCTATTTTAAAATTGACAGATGAGGGGCGCCTGGGTGGCGCAGTCGGTTAAGCGTCCGACTTCAGCCAGGTCACGATCTCGCGGTCCGTGAGTTCGAGCCCCGCGTCGGGCTCTGGGCTGATGGCTCGGAGCCTGGAGCCTGTTTCCGATTCTGTGTCTCCCTCTCTCTCTGCCCCTCCCCCGTTCATGCTCTGTCTCTCTCTGTCCCAAAAATAAATAAACGTTGAAAAAAAAATAAAAAAAAAATAAAAAAAAATAAAATTGACAGATGAAATCCACTTGGCAATATATCAAGTGTGACCAGTTTGGGAATTATGGGAAATGTGTTAGATAAAGTTCAGTAACTTACTGAAGTATGTATTCTGCTCCAGACAGGTTTAGCTGTTTGTGTGAACACAGGATAGGTGAAGCACTGGGATTAAAAATAGTGCAATTTTACCATATAGTGTGGCAGAGGGTGTCATAAGAGAGATGAGAATTATTAATGATGCACCATGGAACCTAATCCAGGTGACGAAGAAATTGAGAACATGGAGATTATGGGCAAAGAAAAACTGGTAGTATCAATTGGCTGGAACTCCCCATAGGATGAGGAATAATTGCAGTATAGTTTGTAGAATAAGTCACTTGAAAAGATGAAAGATGGAGAGAGACTAGGATGCATAATTTGAGATTTCGGGGAAATATATATATATATATATATATATACACACACACACATATAATTATATATACATATACACATATATAGATATATACATATAATTATATACATATAAATATGTATATATTATACATATACATGTATATATTATATACATATATATACACATATACTTATATATACATATACATATACATATATATTTAAGTTCACTAACATTTTCTGGATTCAGAGACAGATATTTGATATTATTCATCCTTTTTAAATGTCAACTTTATTAATTTTATAAGTTAATCTCTTAACACTGATTTAAATATTAAAACTTTCTCCAAATAGTTACAGTAATTACCCAGAGTTCATGAAATCTTATGGATTTAGATAATTACATTACCACAAATCTTTAATCATTGTTTCTAAAATATAAAATCACAACTCATATGTGTATATATCAGATTTTTATGTGATCAATGGACAAAGTATACAAAATTGCATAAATTTAAAAAATAAGTGCAGATAGAGTCAAATGGATGGAAAGTCTTACTACATGTATTTAAATATAGTTCTTCATTAATCTTCTTAATTCTTTTCTTCACTTAAAAAAATTTTTATCTATTTATTTTGAAAGAGAGAGAGAGAGATAGCACATGCGTGCAAGTGGAAAAGGGGCAGACAGAGAGAGAGAGAGAGAGAGAGAGAGAGAGAATCCCAAGCAGGCTCCATGCTGTCAGCACCGAGCCTGATGCAGGGCTGCATCTAATGTGAGATCACCCTCAGCCAAAATCAGAGCCAGAGGCTTAACAGACTGAACCACCCAGTGCCTCTCTTTTCTTTACTTTTATACTTGTTAAGGCTACCTTTTAGATTTAAAGGATAATTTACCAGATGAAAGCTTTGCATTTTGATAAGATCTTATTTAAACCAAACCTAAAAGTAAAAGGGAGAAAGAAAGAAAGGTAGGGAGGGAGGAAGAAGATGGAGGGAGGAAGGAAATGAGAGAAAGAGAGAGAGAATGGACAGAAGGAAAAAGGGAGGGAGGAAGGAAGGAAGGCAAGGAAAGAAAGAAGGAAGGGGCAGGGGGAAGAAGGAAATAGTCTCAAACCGACCGAGGTATCAGGATCTGAGTTTTTGTCAGTTGATTCTTGGTCTGTTCATAATATTTATTTTTGCTATTGAAGATCATTTAAAGCAGAGTGTAATTTCCTTTTATAATAAAGTTTTATTTGTTTTATCACCGGTGTTTTAAGTTTTTTACTTTCATATAGATGTTATTTATTTATTTATTTTTTAGTCTTGGTAGATTTCCCAGAAAGGATGTTTTCTCCAAATTTGTGAGACCAGAAGTACCTAACCTATTGTTCTGTCATTGTGATATACTGACCTAGTTATATTGTTACATTGTTATAATTGGAAACTTATGTATATCTTAGCAATACCTCTCTAAAATTAGTCCAGTCATCTAGAAATTTTATTTCAAGGGATAATGACGGCACTGGTAACTCTTCCTTTTGGGATTTATAACTAATACATCATGTTGGAGCACACTGGTTACAGCTGCTATTCACTGATATCTTTGATTCCCTAATAATTGTTTTCCTTCCTCTTTCTTATTAGTACATAAATTAATAAATATACATATATACTCATTTATATTCTCACATACCTATATCTTCACACTCAATGCAACAACAAAATAATAAAATCTTCACAAATACACATAAACATTTTATTGAAATTAAAAATAAATTAAACACATACTAATGTTGTCTCCATAATTCTGTTACTTCAGGTGCGTTTTGACCACTTCATAGTGACTTATTTTTGTAGGCATCACCATTAAATCATGGCCTTTCATAGACTCAACATGTTAGAATTAAACATGGTATATTTCTTTCCCTTGAAAATAAAATTATCAAAAATTGAAGAGCATGATCTTCTTCAATATGGATCTTTTTTGTTTCAGCCTTAACTCCTGACAATTTTGAAAATCTCCACTTTCCAGAAACAAAAGGTATTTTAAAACTGCCCAAAGACATATAATTAATTAACTATTCTCCAATTTTTCCTTTTTCTTTTTTCTTAAAAAGTGAATTACTTTAAGACATTATCAGTTTAATTGTTGTTCTAGATATTAGTCTCTTACTAATTATACTCATTATAATGATATGTTCCTATTATATCTTTACTATTTTATTTTTGTATAATATTCTTCTTTGAACAGAATGTCTGAATAAATCAGGTTTTTGTTTGTTTGTTTGCTGACCACTTTGTTTGCATTATGACTTTGATGGATTGGATCAAAGATATTCTCCTAACCTTATTTTCATCAGTTTTATAATTTTATCTTTCATATCTCCACCATTAAACCTCTGGTTTTTCTCTGTAATTTTATAATGATTTTTGTGCTAGTCTCACTATCTTTTTTCCCCTCACTGTTCCTGACATTGTTCTTAGTGAATTTTCCATTTATGTACATTAGGTTTCAATGGGTCAAATCTGGCCAATGGCCCATTGTAAACAGAATTTAATTGCAACACAGCCACACTCATTTGCTTATGTATTGCCTATGAAGCTTTCATGCTATTATGACAGAGTTAAGTATTTATGACAAAGTTGTACAGTCCACACAGCTTTAAATATCTATTATCTGGTCCTTTACAGAAACAAGTTTGTCAAACCATTTCTAGAGGAATCCCTGCAAATCAACAGGAGAAGACAAGAATTCTCACTTAAAAAAATAATAATAAAGATAATATAGGAAACATCTATAGAAGAAAGAACCAAGAAAGTTAATAAGAATACTCAGAGACGCTGAAAACCATTACTAAGCAGAGAGTGGCACTTAAAAGAGCAGTAAGATACCACGTTTCACCTGTTTGAAAGACATAAATCATAAAGCAATGTCAAGTGCTCCAGGAACACTGGGGTGTGAGATCTTTTATACCCCTGCTAGTGTGAGTGTAAGACAGCATAGCCACCTAGGGTGAATAGTTTTTAGCATACTAAATATATATAACTCCAATCACTTAGGGATGCCATTACTGAATATTATTAGGGGAAAAGAGTCTCATATACATAGATCACAATGAAACACAAGTGAATATATTTTTCACAGCATTACTTCTGATATCAAGTTGTTAGACTGGATAGGAAAATATATGGAGGATGAACATCATGGAGTTCTAGCCTTCAGTTATATATAATAAATCAGATCTAGACATAGACATGAAAATTTTATAACCGTGATGATGCTGACTGAAAACAAAATTATGAGAGAGAATGATATCTATAATCTAATACATTCATATAAATTAAAATGACTGTATGCAATCAAATACATTCTACCAGAGAACGCCCATTAGACATATTTGGGCTGTTATAGGAGTTAGTGGATAGCAAGAAAAGAAAGGGAGATGGAAAGAAGAGAAGGGAAGAAGAAAGATAGAAAAAAAATAAGGTAATACCTATATTTTTGAGTCATGGAAGTTTTATTATTTTACTTTTATTTATTTTAGTGTTTATTTTTAATTGAGGTCTAATTGACATACAATGTTATGTTAATTTCAGATGTGCAGCATAGTGATTCGACATTTATATACATTGTGGAATGCTCACCATGGTATTTTAGTAGCCAACAATCGATTATGAAACAACTCCATACAACTGCACTTAATTTTTTTCCTAAACTCCATAGGTATCAAATTATGTTTCTTCAATAAAGAAGATACAATAAAATCACTATTCTTTTTGTCATGAAATTTGTGATGAATAAATACTTTTTTCAATATATTGGGTTTCACTTGAGTGCAATAGCATGAAATTCCCTGATCTCACACAGCATCTATCTATTGCCACTTCAATGTGGGGGGTGTGGAGGATAATCTGAGTATCTCCCATACTATAAAAATCTAACTCTTCACTCAGCAATGTATCTTAATAAAATTTAAAGTATTTTTCTAAAACATATAAATTTATATAAATTTAAATATTGTATAAGGAAAAAAGGTTTTGAATAGAATTGTATTTATTGTTGTTTGCTTTCTTATTATTTGAATTTGTTGTGAATGTAATAGATGCCTTCAGCACTAAACAGGCCGTGGCTGTGGAAGGAGCCAAACATTGAAACCATGACCTGTTTGGGCCTTATCCAGATTTGCATTTTCTGTACTTAGAAGCACGTCACATTTTCTGAAGACATCATAAAACAAGGGATGTGAACTAAATATATTTTATACTCTGAGAAGCTAAGATTTTCCACAACTCGGATTCAGATCAGGATTCTGAAAGGCACTTTGAATGAAATGAAGCTCAGTCAATGTGTTGCACATGATTAAGAGGATAAGCAGAGTCATTAACTAAACTGACTAATGGGCTACAGAGCTCTAAAACTCCCAAATGCCATCATGATGAAAGGAAGGCATTTACTTATTAATTTTCCTGCATAGATCTTATTTTGGTAGCAAGAGATTGGATTCATTGCTTTACAGCTTCCCTGACTTGGTGTCATTGGTCTAGAGTGATATTGCCCTCCTTATCATATAAAAAGCCCATCATTTGCATGTTCCAGGTATAATTTCAGACAACCCGTCATATCTGTTCTTTTTCAGCAGACACAACTTCAAGAAGACTTCAGATCCGTCAACAACAGATAACATTCTCTACTTTTTACAACAGGATTCATTAAATTGTGTAAGGTCCCATTAGACTGAGCAACAAATAGATGTAATCACACAAACACGGGACTTTATTTATAAAATACAAAAGGGGTCCACAAAACAAGTTGTTCTGTTTTAAAATCTAAAATTTAGGGGTGCCTGGGTGTCTCAGTCGGTCAAGCATCTGACTTGAGCTTGGGTCATAATCTCAGAGTTAGTGAGTTCGAGACCTGTGTCAGGCTCTGTGCTGACAGCTCAGAGCCTGGAGCCTACTTCAGTTTCTGTGTCTCCTTCTCTCTCTCTGCCCCTCCCCTACTCATGCTCTGTCTCTCTCAAAAAAATAAATAAATAAATAAACATCAAAAAAATTTAAAAAAATAAAATATAGATTTGGGGAATTATATATTTTGCAGCTCATATGTTTCTTTGACAGCATCTTTCTTTACACCAGAAATCCAACAGAGTAAATAAATTTGTTTGAATACTATTGTATTGTTGTAAGACACTGAAAGAGACTCCCCGCCAAAAAAGTGTAGAAAAGCTTCATATATGCATATATATTAATGCTATCATATGTATAATTGATATCATTTACATATACACACACACATATATAATTGATAAGGAAATTAAATGTAGTTGTGGAGATGCACAGCATATTAGGTCATTGATGAGTTATAGATGTAGAAGAGTCCTATTTTTATAGAGGATGCTGCAGGCTAGAAGACTTTTGACACCCCTGAGAAGACAAGTACTACTGGATTCCGGGTGAGGTGGCTGGAATATAAAATAAATGGATGTGAGGTAAGCATTAACAAGTCTCTGGAGACTTTATAAATAGAAAGATGTTGACCTGGTTCATAAAGTGGATAAAACCTATTGGAAATAAGTATGTAAGGATGACAATAATGAGTTGTGGAGAGAATTTTTGTTAGTCAATGAAGGTAAGAGTTAGAAAGGGCATTGACACTCTTGCTAAGGAGGAAAAAAACTCTAAGTAGTGTACTGTTATAAAGGGAGAACAGAGTTAGGAGCCAGAGGACCTAAGATTTACCACAATCTCCACCCCTTTCTAGCTCTGTGACCTTTGCTAACTGGCTGAACTCCACTAGGTCTGTTTCTGCATGAGTGAAATAGTCAGAGTAAGAACTGCCCTTACAAGATTGTTGTTATAATTAAGTGATATAAGCAATACAAAGAGATTTGTAACGGGAAGTACTCAGTGATTATGAGTTAAATTTATTCATAATAAATTAGAGTTTCATAGAATAAGAAATCTATAGTTATTCACTGCACATGTACAGATATATACACACAATTATGTACATGTTTAGTAATTTGATGAAATCACTAAAGTAATTAACATAGTAACTGACACATGGGAATTTGTCTACTCCATTGTTACTTATGTACCATAAGAGCCAATATTTCTTTGCTGATATTTAAAATACTATGACAGTTAACTAATATATAAAGATAACTAAAACAGCCTACGAAGACTAAAGGCTACAGAAACATATGAGAATTTCATCCAGGATAGAAGCAAGAAAAATGCCCAGTGTTATAATCAATGAAGAGACAGAAAAATTGTACTTTAAAAGTGATATTTATTAATACTTAGCAGAGACAGAGAAGGCATCATCTGTACTTCTGTAGGGATCACTGAATAGATAAAGATCATTTTATTCACAAAACTTTTAGGTTTCTTAATAATATCATTCCAACAGGTGATAGGTGGCAACTAAATGCAAAAACTTCACGTACATTATTTCCTCTCTATGATTTCACTTTGTTATATTGCATATAAGCAGTATATATTTATTTATGGTGCTATCCTTGAAGCATAATGACTCATCTGTTCACTGAGACACTGGGGCATACTGACAACATTTTCTGTTATTTGACTATCAGACTATTCCCTGAAGTTCCATTGTTTTCTTTAATTGATTATTTATATGTAATATTAACATATGTAATAACTTCTAGTTACATTTGACAATGGCTTTTATTTTAACGACAAATCACTCATTCTAGTTCTCTTATATTTGGTTACAGGAGCTACCTAAATTCCATTAAGTTTGAGGAAAAAAAAAACAACAACAAAGAACATACATGTATCTTCACATTTAGATTATACTTCAGTTTGATTTTTAAGGATTACTGAGTTTCAGATTCCTAAGAAATAATAAAAAATAAGAAGTCTGAACTGGTCAAAAGTCAAGTGCATTTCTAAAGAATGGGATTTCACAGAATTAATGCTGCAACTTCCTAATTTAACTTTCAGCAAATAATCAGATAAACGTGTGCCTGTCATTACAAACTGTTCATACTTTCTTGAAAAATTGAGGTTGATCTTATTTTAAAGACTGGAAATTTAGAAAATGAAGTTAAGAAACATGATCATGTCTTGATGGAAGAATTCAGACAAAAAGCTCTAACTATTCAATCTCTAAAACTTCGAGCTACACATGCTGTTTGTTTCCACTTGCAAAGAAGAGGACACATTAAAACGTGAAAAGAGTATAACGTCACTGAATGAAACATATTCAGGAAAGTAATTAGTTTATATGTTATCATTTTTATGTTTACCTTAAACCTTATTTATATTTTACACTTTCTTTTTCTTTAAACCTTTATTTATTATATTTTGAGAGAGAGGGGGAGACAGAGCAGGGAAGAGGCAGAGAGAGAGGAAGAGAGAGAGAATCCCAAGCAGGCTCCGCACTGTCAGTGCAGAGCCCTATGTCAGGCTCCAGCTCATGAACTATGGGATCATAAGCTGAGCAGATACCAAGAGTTGGATGCTTAACCCACTGAGCCACCTAGGTGTCCCTACACTCTTTCTTTTCAATTACCCTCTTTATGACACTTCCTAACTTATATTTCTAGGTTGTTTTCAATATAAAAATTCTTCAACATTGACGTTTATGACTAAAATCCAGATACAAACTGTTCTCTCTTCCAGAGTTTTAACTTTCTTCTATTGGATTCAGGAATTATAACATAAAAAGACAAATTTCTAAATTATAATTTATCTGTAGAAGTTAGCTAAATGGCAACTTCTATCATAGCAATAGATATATATTTCTTAATTTGAATATATGCTTCTTAATTCATTATATCTATCTGAATGCCATGAAGTAATATATTGTGCTCCCTGAAACCATGCCCATATATCATGACACTGCTGAATAATTTGGCTTATTTATTATTTTTTAAACAGTCATTGAATACAGTGTGCTGACATGTTTTATTTCCCAAGCTACTTGGACATGGTGTGTGGTTCTTACATTAATCCACAGTAACCAGAAGTTATTT